TGTTGATGTTTTAGGAGCAAACACTCTCTGTAGCCAACGCCCACACAGAGAAACACAACAGCCAGCACCCAGTTCTGCTGCTGTCTCCCACTCACTGCGCCCACTGCCCAACTTCTGAAGCATGGATTTGTTTTATCTGTTCTTGAACTTTACAGAAGTAGTAACACACAGCATACACACCTTCACATCTGGGTTTTTCCGCTTAACCTTCTGTTCCCGAGGTCCACCCCAGTTGTCACGTTAGCAACAGTTTTTGGTTCTCTTGCCCTCGGGGCATTTCCCGTCTGGGCTGTTACTAAGACAGCTGATAGGAACTGGCCGGATGCAGGGTGGGGCTGTAAAAAGGAAACATGCTAAATCCCCCCGACCTGGGGTGCAACAGAGTTCTAGACTTAAATATTACCCATGGTATAAAGCTATTGCTCACAGGTGTCATGGTGGACTGGAAAAGAAGGTGGGGTTTTAGACAAGACACATTTGTCATTGATTTCTGAACTTTTCACTTCCTTATAGTGTGACTTGGGCAGTTACTTGACCTTTCTGAGAGTAAATTTTTTTCATCTGCAGAATAGTAGTAAAAATATCTTACTCATTTGGTGGTAGAGGTGGTTCCTTGGGACCGGTCCGCAATGAGCCTGGCCGGAAGCCCAAGACACACAACGGCGGGTGTGCACAGGCCCCCACCACACTGGAGAGAGTGTGCACAGGCCCCCACCACACAGGAGAGTGTGCACAGGCCCCCACCACACTGGAGAGAGTGTGCACAGGCCCCACCACACTGGAGAGTGTGCACAGGCCCCCACCACACAGGAGAGTGTGCACAGGCCCCCACCACACTGGAGAGAGTGTGCACAGGCCCCCATCACACTGGGGAGAGTGTGCACAGGCCCCCATCACACTGGAGAGAGTGTGCACAGGCCCCCACCACACTGGAGAGAGTGTGCACAGGCCCCCACCACACTGGAAGGTGTGCACAGGCCCCCACCACACTGGAGAGTGTGTGCACAGGCCCCCACCGCACTGGAGAGAGTGTGCACAGGCCCCCACCACACTGAAGAGAGTGTGCACAGGCCCCACCACACTGGAGTGTGCACAGGCCCCCACCACACTGGAGAGAGTGTGCACAGGCCCCCACCACACAGGACAGTGTGCACAGGCCCCACCACACTGAAGAGAGTGTGCACAGGCCCCCACCACACAGGAGAGTGTGCACAGGCCCCCACCACACTGGAGAGAGTGTGCACAGGCCCCCACCACACTGGAGAGAGTGTGCACAGGCCCCACCACACTGGAGTGTGCACAGGCCCCCACCACACTGGAGAGAGTGTGCACAGGCCCCCACCACACAGGACAGTGTGCACAGGCCCCACCACACTGAAGAGAGTGTGCACAGGCCCCCACCACACTGGAGAGTGTGTGCACAGGCCTCCACCACACTGGAGAGTGTGCACAGGCCCCCACCACACTGGAGAGAGTGTGCACAGGCCCCCACCACACTGGAGAGAGTGTGCACAGGTCCCCACCACACTGGAGAGTGTGTGCACAGGCCCCCACCACACTGGAGAGAGTGTGCACAGGCCCCCACCACACAGGACAGTGTGCACAGGCTCCACCACACTGGAGAGTGTGTGCACAGGCCCCCACCACACTGGAGAGTGTGTGCACAGGCCCCCACCACAGTGGAGAGTGTGCACAGGCCCCCACCACACTGGAGAGAGTGTGCACAGGCCCCCGCCACACTGGAGAGTGTGCACAGGCCCCCACCACACTGGAGAGTGTGCACAGGCCCCCACCACACTGGAGAGTGTGTGCACAGGCCCCCGCCACAGTGGAGAGTGTGCACAGGCCCCCACCACACTGGAGAGAGTGTGCACAGGCCCCCACCACACTGGAGAGGTGTGCACAGGCCCCCGCCACACTGGAGAGAGTGTGCACAGGCCCCCACCACACTGGAGAGTGTGTGCACAGGCCCCCACCACAGTGGAGAGTGTGCACAGGCCCCCACCACACTGGAGAGAGTGTGCACAGGCCCCCGCCACACTGGAGAGAGTGTGCACAGGCCCCCACCACACTGGAGAGAGTGTGCACAGGCCCCCACCACACTGGAGAGTGTGTGCACAGGCCCCCACCACACTGGAGAGGCAGAGGAGGGCTGGTTTGAAGGGAGGAGCCCTTTCTCTGCGGGATGCATTTTCCTCAAGGGATTTACTCAAACACATCTCCTGGAAATATTTTTATTACAAAAATCAACAAAGGGCAGAGACCTTTTTATATTTTCAAAATGTTTGACTAACTACAACGAATGTGTCTAAGTGCATATCCAGTTGGTGGTTCAGCCAGAGAGAGAAACTAAAGACAGCCTGACTAGACACCCAGGTGGGGAGCACTGGAAGGAGAGAGAGAGAGAGAGAGAGAGAGAGAGAGAGAGAGAGAGGACAATTCATTGTATAAATATCCTAGGAACCTAGGAACCAGGTTCTCAGCCTGAAAGAGAGCTGAGTATAAAATCCGGGAAAGTAGAAGTCCTGTCACCCATCCATATGTGCTGCTGTATAGCAGGCAGTAACCGTCCCCTGAAAAGGCCAAGGAGCAACGGGACCTCATAGCAGTGGGCAGCGCTGGTGTCCAGACTGTAAATGTTCTAATTTGAATAGCAATATAAATTCATGGTTTAACAAAACTTTTCTTTCCACCTCTGCGCAGCGAAAGACCTAGGAGCAGGGGCACCCCAGGAACGGTGAGCTCCCCTAGTGACTAGTTCTTAATTTCCAGATATTATGCCTACAAAGAACAGAAGAGAGAGAAAAAGAGAGAGAGAGGGAAGGAGGGAGGGAGGGAGGGAGGGATAGGTCTTTGGAGAAATAGCTGAGTTCAAGTCCATGTCAGAAAATGTTCAAGACGTTCCAGGGACATCTATTGGATTAATGAAAACAATGAACACTTCTTGTGTCAGAAAGAAAACAATTAAAGGGCTTCTGAGCAGCCTTTAAAATGAATGAGCAAATCTATAGGTACTTTCGTGAAAACATTTCCAAGATATGGTGTTAAATGGTAAAAAGTAAATTACTGGATGCAAATTACATAGTGCAGCCATTTGGGTATGTGTGTATTACATACAGATAAGTGTATACATAAGTATGGGGCAGGCACGGCATAGAGACATCCACTTTCACCCTTTATTCCAGTGTTTTAATTAAGAAAAAGAAGAAAGGTTTAGAGACACATCAAACTATTGGTTGTGTTTACCTTAAAGAGGGGAGAAAATGAGTGAGCGTGAAAGAGATTTTTACTTTCACTCTATGAACTATGGGAATGAAAAGAAATAAACATGCAAGTATTCTGCAATTTTTGTGAAGTTAAAACATAAAAAATAACATGAGAATATTTTCAAAGACAAATGAAATGGACCTCAACTAAGTCTACCCCAGCAATTTTCAAAGTCACAGTAAAAAATAAAATAGAATGGCTTTACGGTGTCTTGCCTGGTAGTTTTCCAGTTCTCCTTCACTTACAACATAACTAGGAAATACTTCGAAAGAATTCCTCACTTCTTTATGGAATATTACTACCTTAAACATCACCTTCCAACCCAGAGTTCAAAGTAGTTAGTTCAAGAATTTCAGCCGAGAACCTCGAACTGGCAGGATACCACTGGCAGGTGGGATGACTTTTTTTCTAATAATAAATGTTAGAGCAGTATCCAATTTGTCTGCAGCGGACCAATTTCACCAAAAGTTAATAAGTAATTAAAAAGTAATAGCTTAGAAATAAGTCATAAATTGTCTATTTTATCGGAACTTAGAACGGTATTAAATGATTATGGAAGCAAGGTCATTACACGGAATAAGAAAACGTTCAGTTAACGAGAGCTAATACAGAACTATCGCCAATCTTATCCAGCACTTTGTGTGTGCCAGGCACAGCGGCTTATTCAGAAGCAGCATGACTCTGCACAATGACACGCTCTAAAGCCTCAACATTTTCTCGGGAATACACTTTGAGATATTCAGACTAAGCGTGAGATGCGAAGGAGAGATACGGTAATCACAAAGACATTTACGTGAGGGTGGGTAGGGAAAGGAAACCCACTGAAAACGTAATTGCATTGTGTGTAGTGCGCTGAGAAATTGGCTTGACCCTATCTCACACCAGATCACCACGCGCCCGCCCTCGACTGATCTCGCCAACCCGCGGTATTTCACGTTGATTCGCAGTCGTAGGGAGGAGGTACATCATGGACCACCACCCAACATTAAACATGCATGCTGCAGGCTTTTTCCTACTTTAACCCCGAAGTCCTGCAGCGACTTATAGAGGCTGACAAACGGCCTGACGCACGTCCAGTAACAAGACGCAGCTTCCCACTCCATTTTGTCCCCAGTCTCCTTTAGGCGAACCGAGTGATGCTATTTTAAAACTCCTAAGTATTGGAAGTAAATAAAAAGGGGAGGAGGCGGGGGCACAATCTGCTGCAGCTGGCGCCCGGGGCCACAAGGCTGCAGCTGCTGGTGGGTGGAGCGGCCCCCAGGCACCCGGGGCTCGGCCCAGGGCCGGAAGGACAAAGGACACGTAGGGGACGCGGGCCGCGAGCCCCAGCCTGCCGACTTCCGGGCGGGGGGCCCGCGCGCAAGACAAAGCGGCGGCGGCGCGCCCGCTCCCTCCGTCCCCGCGGCGCGCGCCCGGCCGTGCGCGCGAGCACGAGCGCGCGGGCGACGGTTAGAAATGGCGGTTGGGGCGGAAGGCGGGGGCTGGGGAGGGAAGGTGCGCAGTCTCCAAGCGGTAGGGCGCCGTGCCGCCCGCGCTCCGCCGCCGGCCGCCTGGGTGCGGGGTCACTTCCAGAGCCCACCCAGTCCAGCAGTCCCGGCCCTCGGGGCGGGTGAGCCGCTAGTAGGGAAGGCGTGGCCCGTTTAATGAACAAAGGAGACAGGCCGAGCCGCCGCGGCCACCGCGAAGGAGAAACGTTCCCTAAAATGGCGGCCGGCGCTCAGGGGGCGGTGCGTGGCTGGGCGGGGCTTCCGCTGGCCGAGGCCCGGGGCGGGGCTGGAGCTGCGGACTCGTTCCCATGGCCGCTGCCCCGGGGCCCGGCGAGCCGGAGAAGGGGAAGGTAACTCGGGGGCGGTGGGTCGCGCGGGCGGGGGCGAGCGGGGTGCGGGCGGGCGCCTTTTACGGACGCGGCCTCTCCAGCTGGGAGTCGTGAGCCGGAGCACGTGTCCTTGGTGTGGAGGTCGGGGGAATGTATTAGTGTACGCCCCCCACCTGCGGGTATTTTTGTCTTCATTGCCCGGACTAAAGTGTCCAAAACTGGCACTAGGAGGGACCGCTACTCCTGCATACTGCAGGTCACTGTAAAATAGCGAACAATCCTGAGCCTTGGGCGGAAAGCTTTGCTGACCAGGGCCTTGCACTGCTCCTTTAATTTACTAGGAGAGGCGGATTTTGTAAGCTCCCCGAGGCCAGTGCCTTGTTCTTGATGGCTAACGTGGAGGGATCCAGAAATGCTTAGGAATGGGAACTTGGTTCGATTCCCGTGCTCCTACACGCAGATTGGTAGGAGCCGAGGAAAAGACAGATTTTTCCCGTTAACCTTGCGTCCTCTCGACCCGGTGGAGTGTTGCGGTATTACTGTACGTACCCAGTAGCTTCCGTAGCGAGTACTCGTGCCTCTTGCTCTGCCTTCTGAAGTCCGACCACGATTGTCATGGTGGGATAACCTGTTAACCGGGTAATTTCACCTCTCTGCTTAAAATTTAGTCTTAGGACACATTGCTGTCACCTTGGCCAGTAATAACGTGAAGCTAGCTGTTCACCTGGCCTCTGACTACCCAGTCTGGCTTCTCGTGCTTTTCCTCCAGATGTTTTAAAGCTAAGCTATGTTTCTGGTCTCCCCCGAAGGACCTCCTGAACCCCCAAAGTAGTGTGAGGTGCTTCTGTCCCCATCTCCCCGTAGCTGTATCATTACACCGTTTATTATACCAGAAGTTAGGAATGTGTCCCCTCTTCATCTTGGGCTCCTTAAGAGCGGGACCCCAATAGATAAAGTATGGTTAACAACTATTAAAGACCCACTGTGTTCCAAGTTGCTCCTGGTCTATTTTAGAACATTCTCTGACCACGTTGGAAATTTTGCTCATTTACAAGTTGTTTCTCAGGGTACTTTTCCACTTATATTTAGCCAAGATAGCAGATCATCAAATGCTTCATGAGAACCAATGTTGGATAAAATCTTTCCATACTTAGCAACAGATTTTGCCAATTTATACAGCTCGTGGTGCCTTTTGTTTTTAATGGCTTGTAGGTATACTATTTGGAATACACTTAGTGTAAAAAAACGGACCCGTGTTTGAAACTCCCATGTTCCAAACACGAGATTCTAGATTGTTCTGTGAGAACACCAAGATCTTGACTGGGGCTTTAATCCCTTCTGTATGTTCACTTTGATGGGCAACTGCTGTCATGAAATGGTCATGAGGGCGCTTTAACCCATTGAGAATTGATAGAAGAATTCAATGAAAGAAAAAATGACCTATTTAATTGGTTCATCATCAGCAAAACAAAATACTATAAAAAGCCCTGTAAATAAGTCATTCATGAAGCACTAGTACCTATCAAATTTCATCAAAGAGAGCAGAATTAATATAAGCTACCTGAATTAGCAGCCCAAGGTAATGTCAGAAAAGGAGGCCCGTAGTTAAAAAAATTTTTTTTTCAGTGATCATTTCCACTACAATCCAGGGACTGATCTTTAGAATCCGCAAAGCTAAGGTGAAAATGGGGAACGGCATCCAGCTGGTACACCTGGTAGAACTGGCCTTTAAAGACTGTGCTCTCACTCAGCTCTTTGAGAAAGTTTAGAATGTGAAACTTGGTACATGCTTACCAGGAAAGTGCTCTAGGTGGATTCTAAATCTATGAATTCACCCATTCAAAAAAATATCTATATTTTTACAGACTACCTGCTGAGTATTAGGCACTAAACCAGGTGCTAAAGGTATAGTTTTGATCAAAAGAGGCAAAATCCCTGTTTTTATGTAGTTCACACACTGCTGGGGAAGTCAGTCAAAAAGTAAATTTCACTTACCGAACCAGCCAGGCAAAGAATTGGGAGGAAGGTGGTGCGTGCTAAGCAGTAACCATGTGTGCGTGTTGGGAGGAAGGAGGGAAAGAGTGAGGTGAGGAGGGTAGGTACTGATCAGATAGGGCCTTCGCAGCACGTCCGAGGGCTGCAGAGGGTTAATACAGAATGACAGGTCATCTCAGTCACCCAGGGGTGCCCAACCTTTTGGCACCTCTGGGCCACACAGTCAGTACACCGGGACACGTAATTGCAAAGTCGTCATGTTTTAAGTAATCGACCATTTTGTGTTGGGCCACATGCAGCCGGCAGGCTGGACACTGTGTGGCATCAGGACCTTTGGCGGGATGGCAGCAACAGCAGTGAAGGTGAGAAGTGACCCGTTCAGTTCAGGATGCATTTGGTTCACTCCAGACCTGCTGACTGAGATGCTGGACATGGGGTTCGTGTAGAGGAATCAGAGATGCCTCCTAGGTGTTTGGTCTGACAGTCGGTTGAGCAGTGAGGTCTGAAAAGTAATCATGATTTGGAAATACGAGGTCCAAGGTATTTACTTGAAGTAGAAGAGGTGTCAACAAGCAGATGAAACCAAAGCTTGAGGATCCGAGTCTGACTTTTGTGTGTCATCACATAAGTGGCATTTAACTAAAATCCCATGAGTCACCTAGGACAGACTAGACTGGGAGGGGTGGCAATTGGACATTTACATGTCATCAGAGAAAGGGACAGCAACAAACCTGCCAAGAGCCAGAGAACTAGGAGACACTGTCGTATTTGAAACCAAGTCAAGAAACGTTCAAAACCACGATCTGTCTGTGCCACGTGCTGCTGCAGAGTACTATGAATTTGGGGAAATGGATGCCTTAGAACAGGGCCGTTGGGTGGTGTGCGGTGGATGGATGCTGCACTGGAGTGAGTTGAAGTGAGGGTAGGTGGTTCCTCAGTAAAGCAGCACGTTAACTTCTGCTTTGCAGTGAAGGGAGCCGAGCAGGGATGGCTGGCTTAGGAGGCTTGGGAGGAACGGGGTGTGAAGGGTTTTGTATGTTTCTAGGCTGAGTGTTGAGAGGAAAAATGATGCAAGTGAATGGGGTAACTGTAGAAACATCCTTGAGAATTGTTAGGATTAGTTTTACATAGGAATAGAGCCAGCTCATCCATATGGGCACTGAGGCAACGACATTGGCAGCAGGGAATTAGGTGGCTTAATTTGATCTGATCTATTTCCTATGAACTACTAGACATTCTGGCTTAGGAACCTTGAGCTTTCCTTAGCTCCATCAAGGTGAGCTGGAAAAGCTGCTTTTCTATATCTAAGCTTAAAAGCATGTCTACCCCCCCAAAAAAAACTAGCCTTAAATGTCCTTAGTTTACGGGCTCAAATTCATTAGCATCACATTAAACCAGCAGACTATTTAGGGAGCAGAAATGTTCATTTGTTTCAGGCTCTTAAGTTCATATGCCGAAGACCAGTTCTTTAGTACAGTTCATGCTCGATCCTGGGAGTTAACAGCAGTCTAAACCAGTGATTTTTTTTCAACCTCTTTCATCTCATGACACACACCCATTACCCAAATTCTGCGGCACACACACACGCAAAAACTTCTTGCCAATCTAACAAGAGAAAACTTAGGTATAAATAGGTTAATACCCATTTTGACTTATTCACACCAGACAGGTATTGTCATTTTTAATGCGACAATCTAAGGGAAGAGGTCACTGCCGGACCAGACTGTCAGGTGTTGCACATCTTAGACATTGCTGCAGCACACCGGTTGTAAACTGCGGGTCTGAACTCTTCAGGCAAGAGTGCTCTCCTGGTAAGGGGGAACTGTGGACTTAAGTTCTATTCATTCTTACCCAGTGTTAATACGAGTTGCAGGGCCCCTTATGTATTTTAGTCTTTACCCTCTAGATGTGTGACCTTTGGGAAAACGACTACTTTGTGATCCTTGGTTTTTTCATCTATAAAAAACATCTATGCCCTGGTTGGTGTGACTCAGTGGAGTGAGGGGGTGGCCTTGGAATTGAAGGTTTGACTGGTTCGATCCCCAGCTAGGGTACATTCCTGGCTTGCAGGCCAGATCCCCATGTGGGGGCATGCAAGAGGCAACCAATCTGTCTCACGCATCGATGCTTCTATCCCTTTCTCTCTCAAAACAATCGAATAAAATCCCACCCCACAGAGGTCATGAGAACGAACCACCAGGTTGGTGAAGGACACGGCACACACAGCCACCCCTGCTGGCTGCTCACCCGTGGCACTGCTGACACCCCAGTTGCAAGTGGGGCTGGTGTGCGGTAGAACGTTTAGCAGCAGAATCCGTGGCCTCTGCCCACATGCTGGTTCTAAAAGGTACCACTGAAAACTGGGTATGAAACTTCTGCAAGGTGTCTGTCTTTAAAAAGTTTGAATCCCCCAAGCCCTTTGTATATGAAGATTTGTATTACATACCTTTCAAAATTAAAGCCTGCAGTGTTCCCGAGCACCCGCTGTGTTAAGGGAGGGAGGAGTGTTTTGGGGTGTGTGGGAAGGGGGTAGGAAGCATGGAGAGACCAAAGAGGAATGGAATGGGGTGACCCGGAAGAGTATGTCATTTCTGCTTTACTAGGACCCAGGTCACATTGCCTTTTCCTGTCAGAAGTTTGAGCCAAAGAAATACACGCAGGAGACAAATACAATAAAAATGTTTCAACCTTTAAGCTGACTTCCTCCATTTCTTCCCATCTGTTCTTCCTTTACGGTACCCCTCCTCCAGAACCCTCCTCCCCTTTAGGATACGCCCCCCTCACACTGCGCCACCATTTAAACGGACAAGTAGCTTCCTTTTAAAGGCTACCTTCCTGGAAACCTGCATTTGATCAGGTTTTAGAAAATGGTGTAGGTTTTCTATTTCTTTATTCAGTAGAAATGCTACAATGAAACAGATAGGACTTTTAAAAACGTCTGTTCTGCCCTCAGTTGAGGGACACACGATAAATACAATAAAACAATAAAAGTGCAATTTGCTACCAGGCAAGGAAACAGACCGAAAGTTGTATTGCCCACGTTTTATCTTCACACGACATACACACATTCCTGTTTACAATTGATGTCCCTCCACCTCACTAACACCAAGAAAGGTATTTAGGGCAACACTAACACACACCATAAGCAAACATGGTTAGAAAAATTGCACTCACCCCATTTGTTTCCCCCCCAAATTTCTCACAGATGTTTTAAGAGCTCATAGAATGTGCTTTTATTTCCAAACTAGCTAATCATCCAATTATTGTCTAATACCAAAGTTTAACGAACTCAGGCACGTTACTCTAATGCTCGGGACTCGCTGGTCTGCCGGATGCCCGAGGCTTCCCACTTGGAGGTTCGGACTGTTCAGACCACTCACAAGCGGGAAGGTCATCGCCAGTCAGTGCAAATGGGTTGCTGCGCGGTCCTCACAGCAGATTCTGATCTTTGCAGAAACTGATGTACCGTACTTATTGTTCAATCTAGGTTCTTTTTAAAATTTTTATCCTAGCCCTTCAAGCTCCTGGGAATTTTGGATGTTGAGAACACTCCCTGTGCACGGGACTCGATATTATATGGCTCGTTAGGGTCTGTTGTGGCTGGCCTTGGACATTTCTTGTTAACTAGTAAGTACGTTTTGCTCTGTGGATAAATAACACACACTTAAGTGTGGCGAACAGTTTAATTTCCTAGATAAGGTCATGTGTCAAGTATAACGAGAGGGGCTGTGCTTTCTGACAGGTAGAATTAAAAGATCGTGTGACGTTGGAGCGGGAGGATTTGTCGTGGTGACTCTAGGATGCTGGTATGTGCATTGCATGTTCAGGAAGGTGCGCGGGTGTATGACAGCTGCAGCCGATTCCAAAGCACACGCCCCTTCTGGAGCAGTTTCCCACCCTCTGGTGTTTAAACAGGACTTAGGATTTTTTAAAGGATTTTATCATAGAAATTTATCACAAAATGATACTGCTGGAATGCCTTAAATCTTCGCAGGGTACATATACTCGTGTTCTATACTCTGTCAAATGAACAGACGACTGCAGGACGTGAGACATGCCATTAACACCACGTCAGGGTTTACACCTCATTTGGGAAGGCCCCCACCCTTTAACTTCCCCCAAGGCCCAGTCCATCCCTGCCCACAGCATCACACCTGCTGTTGCTTTAGGAATGTGTTCACAATCGATACAGCTCAAATCTACCTTCCTGAGCAAAAAAGCCAGACCCAAAGTCCTGGTTCCCCTCACATAAAGTTCTGCAAGTAAAATTAAGCTAAGGTGATAAAAACCCTCATTTTCTATCAAACATACGTAATAAAAATAAAAGGATGTGTTCGCAGCTGTCTTTGACACCAAACCACCCAAAAACAGTACTCCCAGGTTAGAGCGGGCGCATTTCCGGTCTCGGGTGCTCACCCGTAAGCGTTCCCAAATTGTTACTACAGGGTCTCAAGTGGCTCTACAGGAACTTCCTGTGACTTCCTCATATTCCTTTCTTCCCAGGTTCCATTGTAGGTATAATTATGCAAAGCAAAGGATCCAGGAAAGAATTGCCAGAGAAGGAATTAAAAATAAGATTTTATATGAAAGTACCCACCTTGATCCTGAAAGAAAACAGAGCAACAGCAGCAACTGAACGGGGTCGAACGGAGACCCCAGTACAGCTCACCGCCGTCAGTGTGAGCAAGGCCGGGCTCAGCTGGGTCAACCACCGCATGTACCATACGGAGGCTCTCCATCAAGTAAATAAAGCATGTGTTTAAGTTGCACTTTTTGCTACACTTGTGTGAATATTCTGTGAACTTATTCCAGCCCTGTTAGCATGCAGTGGACTTGTCAAACTTATTAAGTATAAATGATGGCAGTTAAAGAAATAGAATCTCTTCCAGTTGCAGCTTTAAAACTTGCCTTAGAAACAAAAAATAACTGAGTTACTGTACCTTCTAAAAAATGAGGGACTACTTCCTGTTTTGTTTTTTTCAAAACCCTCACCTGAGGATATGCTTACTGATTTGAGAGAGGAAGGGCAGAGACCCACACCGACGTGAGAAACACGGTTTGCCTCCCGCAGGTAACCCCACCTGGGATCAGACCCGCAACCTTCCGCTGCCCAGGGCCACACCCCGCCCGACTCAGCCACCCGGCCAGGCCTTCTGGTGGTTTCAAGACACTGAATGGGGTGTATCACTTTGCAGATTACTTTAAAAACCTATCCGTTGCTTGATAGTGTTCTTCCATTTCTCACAACAGATAAAGGGTGTTTCTATCCAACTGCTCTAAATATTTTTGTAAGTATGCATGGTTTTAATTTTTCAAGTGGAACTTAAAATGGTGTGCAGGAATGTTTTCAGAACTTGTTTCATTGGTGCAAAGGAAAACGACCTCAGGATTACCCGTGGTACTAACACTGCCGTACATGAAAACATGTTTAATCCACGCGGCTGCCATAATATAGAGTCTAAACAATGTCCAACATCAAGTAAGTCCACAGCATTCATTCAGTCAGGAAAAAAATTCTCCTCCAAAGTAGTGAAATTATGTCTTTTGTTTTAATAAACATCAATATTACTTTTCAAAAAACTGTTACATAAAACGCAAGCTAGAGGTCTTCCTGGCTCAGAAATGATAAACAGGGAAGAGACACCAGTGGACAGGGCTACGGCATGATCACTGCCTGGTCCTATCACCTGATTAGCACGGTGAGCTGAGGATGCAAGAACCGGCAGCGATGTCCCGGAACGTCCTTTCGTCCTGTAGCCCCTCCCAAAGGGTGAACGGGGCTTGCTCCAGCTCTGCTGGAGAGCGCATCCCCCTCCCATGCCCATCTTGTGGCTTCCCTATGCGCGCCGGGGTGCGCAGGCTGTGCCGTAACTACCGGACTAGAGAAAGACACTGTTGACCACCTGTCCTATCAGGTTTTTTTATTGATCCTAATCACCTGGCCACCACCAAAAGGACTTAGGCATTGATTAGGGAAGGTTATTAGGGAAATGCAGCCGGCAAGGACCTCTGCCCATTCTCACCGACACAAGTCAGTGCTAAGTGCAGTCTACGTCACTTGAGTTATCACAACCAATACTAGGCTAAACAGACCCCACGATGAGCCAGCCACTCATGTTCGGAAACAGACTGTGGGAGTTGGGGGGGGGGAATTGAGTGCTAATCAATTGTGGTACTTAGCAAACTGTGCCGGCCACTCATGTTCTTAGCTTCAGTTTACAAATGTACGTAACTTATAAAATGAGGCAACTGAGCCCCTTCCAGCTCTGGCACCGTACGATTACATCTTACCCGGGGTGAGAGGGAAGCCTGCCTCTCAGTTGGTAAAGATTCCCAAGGCCTTCGCTAACAAGGTTGGTTTCACTTTCACAGCAGAATGAGTTCGTAAACTGGAGACCTGGACAAAAACAGGAAGTTGTAACACATTTAGTTGGATTACTTCTTAAATGCCACTTCATAAATGTACACGATCACTCACACTTTCTAGCATGCTAAAAATCTATCACCGAATCACCAGACCCCATGTAACATACTCCAGGCCCTTCATCACACTGCCGCTGGACGCCTTTGGTAAGGCATCCCAGGAGGCTCTGACGCTTCCACTTCTGGCCTTTCCAGTCTATCTCCCCCCTGCCACCCAACTTCAAGTCCAAATCGATTCCATCCGCAGGGCATCTCAGGCCGCCACGACCTGAATTCATGCCTCTGCTTTCTCATCTCACTTCCAACACCATTCCACTTCCTCCAACGTTTTTCACTCTCCTGATCCCTCAGCTCTGGGGATCAGTGATCGGGTCCTCATTCGGGTTCTCGGGCTCCTGTTTGCCTGTTATAGTGGGTGGCACCACAATCCACAGGTCACTGACTTGTGCGAGGAGCCCAGCCCGTTTCTTGTTGTGAAGAACCCTGTCAGCTTCTGTTACACTCTGACCGGGGGTCTGGCACCGCACAGTCAAGTCGCATTGGTTAAAGTGAATTACTGAACGGGCACCAGCAAGTGGACAGGAGCTGGGTCCCCTTCTCAGCCACACCCACTCCCAATTCTGATCCGAAAGAGAAACCTACCTTCCACACCTGCCTGGAGCCTCCGGCCGCACTGCTCCCTTCGGTGTCCCGGTAATTCCAAATCTCACACTAGGTGACATAGCAGTAGGTACCAGCTCAATAGCTGATTGAAATAGAATTGTGGTCATTAGTGGTTTGTAACGTTTCTCGTGGCTTATGTCATACCTGCTCTGTCGACTTCCTAGTGCTTTGTGCATCTCCCCCTTCCCTCGCCCTCCCCAGTGCCCTTCCTAGACCACTTGCTCTTTCTCTCAATAACAAGACCTCGGGGAATTAAAATTTAACTACAGGCTTTTCTCTGGAGTTGATTTCTATTGACCAAGTTGGGCAGCGAGACATTTTGACTGTCCTTAGCACCATTATTTGATTTGCAAGCGTCTCTTTAGTCTACGTACCTCTACTCCATCGCTGGCTCCCCTTTGCTTCGTTTATATAATGCGAGGTCTACATAATAAATTCAGGACTCCTGTTTACGCACTTTTCAGCACAGAGCTAGGGATCAAATAGGGTTTGAATCCTTCTATTCCTAGATAAAAGTCTGCTGCAGGTGGGGGTCAGGACACCCCTTTAAAAGTCACTGTTAATATATATACTAGGCTTTGGGTCAGCAGAAAACCTTAATGAGGAAAGTAGAAAAATTAAGATGATTGCTGTAATTTATTTGTAATGGTCCTTTAGAATAAAGTATCTTTGGAAACATCCTAAAATATGGTCCAGTGGTCATCAAACCAGGTCAGTGTAATATACCGTATCCTCTACCACCCAACATGTTACCTTACACTGATGTTGTGTATTAAGTTCCATCTGTACATGTTCTCTTAAGAGGGAAGGGTTAGGGATGAAAGACTTAATGAAGGGGCATTCAAAGTACCACATTTTAGTTGGTGATATGAGCACTGCAAATTAACATGCTGTAAATAAGCCTTTTCAACCACTGCATTTGCCCTCATTTTCTAGAACACAGGTTCTCCCCAAGAACTTCGATCTTGAGAAAGCTATCGATGACACTAGGAGCAAGGACTGTTCACTCTAGGTTGGATCAATTTAACAGATACCTGCCCCACCTTCTTCCTGGGAGGAACTTCTGCCCTTACGGTATCCAGGTAAACTGAAGGGCTGGTTTCCTAAAGAATGCGTTTCCATGGAAACATTTCTTCCCTGAGGAAGGGTCATGTGAAAAGTGCTTCACTATCTAAATCCAAAGCTAATTTTGTAAGCAAATGTTTTTGTAATTTTGTCTTTTTTAACTCGGGTGAGCAAAGCGGTTATGATTTTTACCTGTTCCTCTGAAACTGTTGTCTTCTCTTCAGAAGCCATTAGATTGTGTTTTTAGTTGGCAGATTGGAACTCTAGTTCACTGAGCAAACCCTTGGCTACGTTCCACATCAGCACAGCACCCAAATCCCCAATTTCACGAAATACGTTATTACGGAGTATGTCGTAGGAGAAGTAAGTCCCCTCTGAACTCCGTACCAAGTTTAAACTTTAGGGCAATGGAACGTTAGCTCCTCTGGACTGACAAAGCTCACAATGAGCACTATCCTCCATCGTTTAAATTTACTTCTAAACTAGCACTTCATTACCCAAAAGGATAATTTTCCCACGCATCTAAAGATATTTATGCATTTTGTATAAATGCAGAAAAGTTTCAGAAAACTAAGAATATAGGTATTCTAATTTTTTTTTTTTGCCTTAGGATACTGTATTCAAACTCTACCAGTAGAAAGGGCATTTATAACAAATATCTTACAAAAACAGTGAATTTGAAAATTAGAATAAGGTTCTAATCATAAGAAAACTGTGCCCTATATGCATACTGCCTTAAACACCCCCCCCCAAGAGGACCACCAATTTCTAAAATACCACCAAACACTTCCCTTCAGGTAGGCAAAAGAGAAATCAGGAAAATGTTTTCTTCCTGTATTAGAGCCTACCCATCTGGTTACCAAATGTCTCCCTTTCCCCCACCTTTTTAGAATAAGGGGGATTTGAATTCACCTCCTGGAAGCCCGATGTAACAAGTGTTAATGTACAAGCAGCAATGAACTTGGAATACCTATTGGAATCACTGGAACACATTTAGTTGGGCCCTTTTACTCTTCCACACAGCGTTCACATGGACAGACTAAGGAAAAGGAGACGAAATTTAAATCAGCACATTTTTTTTGCTTTATTACCTTAAAAAAAATAGTGAAGTTGGAACCTTTTATATTGTACTTGACCATGACTCCCATTTCCCTCAGCTCCCTTAACTGATATAAAATACCTGGAGAGCTGCCTTAAAAAAATTAACCTGTTAACTGCCATTTCAATAAGCCCCAATCATTCTGAAGTGCTGGTTTTTTTCTCTCCTGTCCACACTAGAGCTTTTGTCACTCAAGTTAGATGTGTATACTGACCACCTACCTCAATGTTCCTGGTGGCTTTTATGTTCACTTTAGATTTTTTCTGGCTAGTGGTAATTTGTGGCAATGCTTCTCATGTGCTTAGCAAGCATAGATTTTACTGGACAAAACTAACTTTACTTCCTGAAAGATCACAGCCTATTAAAGGAACTGTGGGAGAGAACAGGCCACAGATGTGTCTGCTGCACAGATGCTGTCAGCTCTCTAGCCTGTAATCCCCCTGCACGTCCTCCAGTCTGCAGATGCTCAAGCTGGACACGCCCTGGAGGAACCTGCGCCCCTGGTACAGCAGACTTCCA